CCCGAACCCTTCTGTGGGATAGGAATACACACTATTAACGAATACCTCAGACAGAAGGACAAAAAGAAAATGAGCGAACTTTGGAATTCACTTATTGGACATAGACAATCCAAGAATCTTCTAACCAACTTTGGCAAGAAAGAAATCACAGAATGTGTCAAAGGAAGCAGGAATAGACTGCGAATCCTAACAGGACACTGTAGATTAAATGGACATCTAAAGAAAATTGGAATAATCCAAGATGGCACATGCAGATTCTGCAAAGAAGCAGAAGAGACACCAACACACTTACTAACAAACTACGGAGCTACACTAGCCCGCAGGAGGAAGTGTTTTGGGATGTACAATGTGACCATAGAAGAAGTACAACCACTGAAACCGGGCCTATTAATCAAGTTTCTTGATGAAATAGGACTCACCGATGTTATACCATACCCTGATTTATTATATCTATCTATATCTAACATCTTATGCAGAAAGGAGATTGTTTATACATTTATTATAAAGCACTAGGCTTGACTTTTAGAGAAGATCTTTTCTTAATATTGGTAACTTATGAAGTTTTTAACTTATTATTAACTTTTGTTAACTTTATTGTTAGTACAAAACCTATACTTTTTAGCTGAAAAAAACATTCACTAATGTATTTCACCCGAATTAAAAAGTGGGCTAGGTGTGAAATATTATTCGATCGATCAGATATAAATGGATTTTCTTTCAAACAAGCACCGACAACTTACCATATTTCATTTTGCCACTACTTAATTGTCACATCAAATATATGACCTTATTTTAACTCCGAGATTCATTCATTCACTGTTATTTTCGAAGTTGTCGGGTTCGAAGAAAAATAGGCTCGTAATATTGATCCTGTTGGTTAAACGGGTGTGCAAGGATGGGCTGCCAAGTTTGGGAGATTTTACTCTTAAAGACAAAGAAACTTAGGGGCAGGCGACGACAGGGGAAGGTCAGTTACTTGGTTTAGTTTATCCTTGCTTTCGGATGACAGGACAACTTACGGACAGAAGGAATGATTGGAAACTACTAAAGTTTGAAATAAATGTTAAATTGTTAAACCACCCCAAAATGCTAGAATATCTCAACACGGCAAAAAATAAGAGCTGGACATAAATCCTTTATTATTTATTGTACACGGTTATTAGATGAAAGGTGAAACATTGTGAAGTCTTAACACTCCATGGAAGCCAACTAAATCTAGTAAGAACCGCTCGATAGGCTTCATCTACAGAATATCGATATGGATAAATGAGGTATTGTTTAATCATGATTTGTCAAAAATGGAAAAAAAGGAACACATAATTCATTGGTGAAGTGACAAAAAGGCCGCACTTGAAATGAAAAAATTCACCATGTCTCAAATAAATCTCCAAATTATTTAAATAAATTTTAGTTAGTGCAATAGAAGTAGTAAATAAAGCAGGTATAGTCGGAAAAATGACGTGAATGCAAGAGCATTATTAAAAAAAGGAAAAGATAGAGATAAATAGAGATTGAGAGATAAAGAATGAATGGGAGGGAGGGATGGGGAGATAGATAGAGTGAGTAAGTGAAAGAAAGAGAGAGAGGGGGGGGAAGAAAGAAAGATTGGATTTGGATTTATGTATGCTCAAATCCTCACGTGTATGTACATACATACAAATAGCCGAGTTGAGCCTATTCGCTTCTCGTAGTCCACCGGTAATTCCAGCAAAAGCTACCTACAATAAACTAACGGCAGACACCAGAATCACCCACCCCGGGTGTTGGCAGTCCTGGGTCAGATCTCGGTCTTATCCGTCCAGCCACCGAGATTGAGCTCCGGGTGCTGCCAACAGCTAGGTCAATTCAGCACCCAACGCATGCAGTTCCAAACCCACTTGTACTCACGTTCATTCTTAGATACATTCACTCCTATTTACATACCATTTATTCAATTAGAGTGATGGAGTACTCGATATTCCTCCATCACCATTTGCACATATTGAGGATCGATGGGGTACTCTATTCCATCATAGACCCTCTCACATAACACATTCCCGCTACATTCACTCTCAACACAAGCTAGATATACACAATTATTACTTCTATACTCAATAGAACAACCTTGCTTCCTCCAAGAATCGGAACAGAGGACCCAAATACTCGCTACCGGGCTCAAGCACAAATACAATCTAGTGGCATTCTTGCACGCTCTCTGTATGGAGCCAGGAATTGCGGTGGATTTGATCGACAGAAGAACAAAATATGTCCAGTGGGGTGTCTTTTAAACTTTCAAAAAAAGGTCCACCGGTGGCCGCAACGGTTTAGGAGTTGACACGGTGTTCAACACTGTAAGGTAAAGGTCCCGGGGCTGTGTCCTTTTGGCATGCCACGTGAAATCTTCCAATGAATGATTTCATCAAAATACAGATGTACTTAGTTGGATTTGAAAGGAATCTTTTATTATGATCTGCCAATATACAAATGGTTTTTCCCCCAAAAAAACACTAGGACCCCGAGGGGGAAGAAAAAAAAAACTTTCAAAAAGATTCAATTTCTTGCATAACCGAAGACATTTCGTTGGCGTTGAGTTTCACTTGGGCCGTTTGAGGGAATAGCGATTTATCTATATTACAATAATTATTTAAACAAAACATAATTAGGGCTAATAGAAGAAGTTCAGATTGACTGAATTACAAAAAACAACCAAACAATGTTAGTATAAGAGGGCTAAAAAGCGAGCGACGATTTCCCCATAGCACCATTTATTCTATTTCAATCTCTAATTTTAATAATTGACATGTTGTTTCTCGCGATAAATATAACCCAGTTGCTCCATGGAGTATTTAAAGGAGAACGTCCTCATTCTTCATTGTCATGTCAGATTGAAAATTTAATACATCCTGTTAACAATTACAAAACAAATCTCTCCAAGAATTCAACATGTTACAGACAAGAATTTTAAAAATTGCAAAGAAAAAAGCGTAATTTTAATTTGGACCGGCGCATGAATGAAGCATGGCGATTATCCGAGTAACACAAACCAAATTTCATCGTTTGCATACATCAGTTAAAAAAGTGTTCATACGTGCCGAATGTCTCATATCATGCTCTATAGAAATCGTATTCTGAGACTAATACCGGTAGAAATCATAAAGCAACTACATTCGATTCGATTACTTAAAAATAAAATTAGCATACATCAACCACCCCCTGAACCTTTTTAATCAACCTAAAAGCCGCAAGCTTAGGAGCTGATTCGTAACAAGTAAAAAAAATGTAGTTTTTAATGTTTATTTCGGTTTAGCATTGTACATACTCTCTGCAAAACTACAATAACCTTGTAACTTTGGTTTTAAAAAATCTACTCAACATTGTACAGGATAACGTTACTCTTTGGTAATGTCTGACGAATTTCCTATGATTATGGAGGAAATGGAAAAAGCCCAAATTAAAAAGGAAAAGATAGAGATAGATAGAGAGTGAGAGATAAAGAATGAAAGGGAGGGAGGGAAAGAGGGGGAGAGAGAGAGAGAGGGGAGAAAGAGAGAGAGAGAGAGAGAGAGAGAGAGAGAGAGAGAGAGAGAGAGAGAGAGNGAGAGAGAGAGGGAGATAGTCAGAGAGACAGCGTGACAGCGAAATATGAGAGAAAAAAGGAAAAAATGGTAATGGGGTAATATAAATATTTCAAAACACAAAGAGAGCGAGAGAGAGAGAGCGAGAGAGAGAGAGAGAGCGAGAGAGAGAGAGAGCGAGAGAGAGAGAGAGCGAGAGAGAGAGAGAGCGTAAGAGAATGAGAGGGGGGAGATTAGTCTTTTCTGTGTATCAAGACTGAAAAGCTTTAAAATAAAGTAAATGTTTAATAGCCAAAGAAAATGTTTACTTTTTTAAGTATATCGCAGAGTAAGGAAAATTATTTTTAAAAAATAGGGATAGATACAGTGTTCCACTTGGCAAGTAGTTGATTCATCTTTAAAAAGAAAAACAATTTTAAGTCGTAAAGGCCAAAGGGGTTAAGCATGAAAGGCAAGCATCTTGTTATTTATTGGAAACCTATAGTCTAAAGAACGCTTCTGATCTTACAATCCCGTGGTAAGTACTTCAGTTCTTACAGAAGAAAAATGTAATAGGATCAGATGTTTACAATATGAAACTTTAATGGTTCTAACATCGACGGCCGGTCCCTAACGATACTGCAAGGCTGATGGAAACATATTATAGTGGATACTGTTACATGCCAAAGAAAAAAAGGTTTAAGACGATTTCTCATAATAGACGTATTCTTTACAATTGGAAATATAAAGAAAATGCGAGGAATAGTAAGGGAGGAAATTTTCATTAGGATATGTTCAAAATCGTGTTAAAGCTACAGTGAAAATATGCAGTTATAACATTAAAAACTAAATTATTTATGTATAATTCGGAAGGAGTGAAATATAATTCGTAGGTTTCACCTTTTTATTTCAAAAAGTGTAAAAATATTCGGTTGTAATTTTTAAGCGTCTGAAAATCAACTTATTCACAGATCTGGTCGGGAATAAATTACACTCGGGCACTATTTAATAGCGTTAAGGGTCAAACGGAGAACTTGTGTAAAGATTAATTATACTTTAATTCTCCAATAGGGCAAAATTAGCAAGCAATTTTCTTACCAGAGCAAATATAATGACGATTCAGGTTAGGAATTTATAAAAAGCCAGCAATTGCGACTAACGTTTAGAAAAATTAATGGCATAGTTATCCCTTAAATACGTAAATCCATATAAAAATAACTGTAATGATTAATGCAGACTCTGGGATAAGTGAGATGAAAATGTTTCATTCCCCCTCCCAAAAAATCAAAACATATGAACTCACTTAAAAAATAAAAATAAATAAATAAAAGTAGAGCAGAAAAATAAAGGAAAACTATTTGTTTTTTTGCTTTTGTTTTTACAGCAGTAATATCCTTCTGAATCGATTCCTGATGGGTTGTGAAACGAATTAATGAATTATAAAATTAGTGAAATAAAAAAACAGACCTGATGTCCAGCCTACTTCAGCTATCCTCTTCCTCGTCTTCGTCCCCAAAGGACAGCAACTGCTTTTTAGCTTGCTTCTTTTCCTTAGGCCCGTCTTGTTTTTCCGATGAGCTTCGTTTATTATCTTTCGTATTTTTATTGCCGCTTTTATCGGGTCGTTTGAATATAACTCTCTCGTCTAAGTTGGCAGGGGCCTCTTCCGCTTCTGAAAAAGTTGAAAAAACAAAAGAACGATTGAAAATACAGTTTATTTATACAATTTAATGTACCGCATTGTTATTTACACAACGGTGCCTCCGTCTCGTTTCGAAATTACTCTCAGAAAGGATATTTATTTGCTATACAGCTCATTTAAGGTTTTAGGCTTAAATCTTGCTGTACGAGCGATACAATGAATTTTAAATTAATATATTTTTTTATATTTGACCACAGGATTTTGAGAATGTATTAAGAAGTAGTGCACCGAATTGGGAATAAGCATGCAACCAAGCATCATATTTGACTATCAGGAAGTATGAATTTAATTTTCTTAACTGAAAGTCATTTCAAGTAAATCCCGAACGTTACTAAATAAGTCATATTATGTGCTATTTTGTTATAGAAAGGTCTATACAGGAAATTATAACTAAAATAAGCAGTCATAACGCAGTATTACAAAATGTTACGCACGAGAAACCAGGGTTGCGTAACGTAAATGCAATACTTTGTTACAAGGACACCTCGTTAAATTGTGAGCAAATTTAGTACTTATACACCTTGTGATTTAAAATATCTGGCTTTCAAAATAAATTTATAGAAAAAAAAACATCTCGAGGCAAGAGTTATATACTCGTATTAAAGCATCTCAGATTGGAAAAACTGGCACAGAGATGGGCTTTGTTTAAATCAATATACATTAAACTGGCCATACTGCTGTACATGAATAAAAATACACCCTCGGCAATTATCTCTCGACCCATTGCGAAAAAGACAATAGTTTCTTTAGGGATTTTATGCGAATACAGATAGCCCTTAATCGGTAAAATTCCCCATGTCTAGAGTGAACAAGTTAAATCTTTCCCCCTCTTTTTAACCTTGAGTGAAATTGTTGGATTGGCTATAAGAGACGGGTGTACGAATGTACAAAGGTTCGCACATGGGTGCAAGGAGGTCGCGTACATCCAAAAGTTGATCTTCTTGTGCAAAGCTAATATTGAAAGTCGGTTGGGTCAACGGCCGAGGGCGATATTGAGATCGGCTCTTTGAGAACATTGGAAACTCGATTAAACTATTTATACATGAAGCTTTTTAATCTATAAGTAATTTTAATAAGTCTACTGTCTATATTCTTTATCATTTCAATTGTTAATGATTATTTAGAGATCGTGAGATGCAGTCTGGTGTGACGTACGTTTTAGAAAAACATTTTCTTTATCGTGCAAACATTTAGATTTTTATTGATATCATCTTTGTTTTCCGTGTAGATGTGTCATTCTTGTGTGTCGTAGGGCACTCTCAACACGAACACACAAGAATGACACATCTACACGGAAAACAAACCCTTTGAGCCCTGAAGATGATCTCAATAAAGATCGGAACGTTGACACGATAAAGAAAATGTTTTTCTAAAACCTATGTCACACCAGACCGCATCTCACGATCTCCAAATAATCATTAACTAACGGTCACTAAACATTCTAGTGTTAATGTATGCATATCCAAAAAGGAAAAACGTACACAACATATATCAAGCCCATCTTGGTTTGTTTACCAGTAAATGTGCAGAGCGAACCCACGCATTTCCAAAATGAAATTGTTGCACTCACCGTTAATTGTTATAATTAGACAACATTTTTCGGACTTTATAACAAAAATGCATAGCAGGACATGCTAATAAAGCCAATACGATTTTCTTGTACAAACCAGGTAAAAACATAAAAACCCGGAACGCGATCCCTTTCTTCATAATTTACTTTAAACTTTTCCCCACATAATTAAAGTAAAAATGCGACAAAGGAGGGGATAATATAAAATTTTATCTCATCACGCTGGTACGGTTAACTTTATAATCACTCACTCTGCCGAATTAATGCATATGGCCTTTGGTATCAAATAATGAACTAAATTTATAGTAAATTGTTTTTCACGGGATTATAAGTGTCGTAATATAATACAATCGGTTTAAAAAAAATGACTTAAGATAATTAAAAGTGCTATTAACCACTACACAACACTTCAACAAAGCTTTTTTAAAATTGTTTTTCATTTTATTTTATTTTTTAATTCTATTTATTTATATATGCCTGGAAAATCTACGTACACGAAAACAAAATTTACTCTTAAACAGCAAATATAATTTCAAAATTATGTAACATTATTAATGAACAGCCAATTTGAGTTGTTATGTATAATTTTTTGAAGTCTCGTTTATTTGTGAGATTAGTTTTTTTTCTTTTATACCAGTATAAATACCAATATTTTGGTCTAACGTAATCGTCCTTTTCACTTTTGGATAGCTAGCAGAACTTTGTCACGGGACTGTTTTTAAACGCTTTTCCAAGGATTTTGGTTAATTTTGGATTAAATAGGTTCGCCGGTAGTAATAATAATAACGATTCGAACCACAGTCCAACTTCTAATAATTTGTTGACGTCGTGTTTTTCATTGTTTTGCCGACGATTATTATTCGGGTCATCTTCAGGGTATAAAGTGTGGTGTTATTCTTGTGGTGTCATATTGGTTTTCTGTGTACGTGTTGTCACAACACTTGACACCAATGACACCGCAAGAAGAGCACCACACTTTATATCCTGAAGATGACTCCTCATTTAAAAGTTCAAAACGGCGGGAAAAAAGTGGTTTTCTAAACTACCTCATTCTAGGCCGCTCCTCACGACTTCAACAATTTTATGAAACAACAGGTCACTACGAAACACACTTCCAATAATAGTTTTACCAGTTTCCCTACAAGATTTTCCATCGTGTAAGATGAAGTGTTAGTTTTCCCAATTCAAGCGAAGCTTCTATACTTTTAAATTGTAAGTAATAGAACCTTCCAGTTTGAAGAAAAAACCTGATATTTCTAACTGTATAAATACATAAAATTGATGCAACTAGACAAGAGATAAAATATGGGTGCATAGAGATTCATTTTGCAAACAATTACATCAACTAGGTATAAAATGTGTAATACATCATTGCCCGTACATTAGCAAAACCGTGTAGTAATTAAGTTATAAAAATAAAATTAAGTTCAAGAAAGTAAGGAAGATTTATATACACAAATTTTATTGAGCTTAAAGAATGGCATATGTAGACTTTTTTCTGTTGATATATGTTTACTTACGATAAGAATTATGAGGAATACCGTGATTAATTGAAATAATTCAAAATCAATCTTAAAATTCCACTGCAATTCGAAATCCTTAGGAAGAATAGTTATGTTAAATCCCTCGTTAGATCGGTTTCGGTACCGATCGTTCAGTTCACTACGACCTTATATAAAAAGATAAACCGCTTATTTTATTTTCCCCACATTTCATCTCTCCCTACTACATTTGATTTAAGCAAACCTAAAATTCGCGGAATTAAACATTTCTGTTACTCACAATGTGGTAGATTGTGAGGTCAAACCTTTAAAATTCTGGCAGTCGACTTAATCATACTAAGCAGTGAAATGAATATAATTGTACTCTAACTTAAGTAAATAGCAAAAATCTATTTATTACACCATACTTATTTTCTAGGCCTGGAAAAACTACCTAAGCTATTTAAAGAGAAAAATGCAACATAAATGAGGTTATACATTTACTATTTTACTCTGTTGTTATTTAACAACTTAGCACTGACAAGAGTTTAAAGATAAAATAAGAAAATAATAGAACATTGCACAGATATATACCAAATAAAACATCTTCTCACATCCTCATTGAATTATGCACATTTAAAATTAACGTTTATAATGGATTCCAGAGTTATATCAATAACTATTGTTATAACACAAGGGTTATTCAGAAATAACAATGCTGAATTTTTTAAATTTTTTCTGGCATACCTTTAAAAGAAAACTAAATACCACTACATATCTATATAAGGTCAGAACAGCAAAAGAGCATCAATTTTGCCGCATCAACAATGAAACATGACCTTGCGTTGCCTCGTCCATCCCTTTTAGGACTGATTTTTTTCCTTCATAAATAATTTAAAACATTAACGTCTCACAACATTTTATGATCATTTTATACAACTAAAAATAAAATAGATATAAAAAAACTGAATCACAACTTTGCAATAATTGTTGCACCTAGGGATAAACGAATTAAAGAACATCAAAATTTAAGTATATATTTAATTTTTAAAAAAGTTTAAGTATATATTTAATAAAAAAATAACATTTTCATAATTGAGTTAAGATTAGACACTTATGCCACTATCACTGGATTAACTTTGCGTTATTAAATCGACATCTTTGAAATAATAAAAAAAGTAAAAAAATAATAATTAATTTTTAAAAAAATAAAATAAAAACAGGAAAACCAAGCCAAAAACACTTTTCGGTTATAAACATAAAGCGCCTTTAAGTACAATAAGTTAAACAAGTTTCCTGTTCTCTTAACTTCCAACATACAGAGGAAAGTTCTTTCAACTAGTACACAAACGTCAAAAAACGAGATCCTGTCAAAAGTAAATTTTGCAATTATGAAATAACATCAAATTAATCGCCTCTCCAAGTTTGGTTGTAGTCGTTGTTGAAAAGATCGGGTGAGCTTTAAGAAAAGTCAATGACTTCAGGTATCTATAATTTTCATATAATCGATCTAGAGTTCTGTCCTGGCTGTTCCGGTTTTACACCATGTAGAATCTACGAGCCCATACTAAGTAAGGGAAAGAGAACATACGTAAATGAAGTAATTAACGAGGCAAATTTTAACTACTGACATGCTGATTTTTCATTAGTAAATTTTCTAGGTTAATTTTCAATTATTCCAGTTTTATTATCCTATCCGTTCAATTTGCAATTAGTATTCAAAAAACATAATTAATCATGAAAAACATTCCCTGATTTCTCACAACTACAATAACATAACTTCAAACCTGCTCCATGATGTAACGAACGGAATAACGGTTAAGATACACCTTAAGACCTTATTATATTACATTTATTTTTCCATTTTAATCTGTTTCGA